AACTCCGGGTCGCGCGCTTTTTTGCTCCCGAGGTTGCGTTTTGAAGTAATTAAGCACGGAGCGTGCCCGTTTCGTCCTGCGAATACCCACATTATCAGGACTTTGTTCCCGCCAGCCCTATTAGACGCCGAAATCCCCCTTTAACGACTACCCAACTCCGGGCGTCAACGGACGCATTGATGATTCTTCATCGGTCTGGAGCCGAGGCGTTGTCGAGGATAATTGATCCAGAGGGACCGGAAGGAATGCGGGCGGGCACGCGCTGGATGGGGTTGGATTTTATGGGGTTTATTGTTAAGAAAAAACGAAGCAAGGTCGTGGTACAATCGCACGCAAATGTTTTGAGCCTATGGGCGGATCGTTTTTGCCTGCCCTTACCGAAGAAGGCGGTCCAAATCCTTCAAGGGCAGAATTTGTAGGTAGGCTCAAACTACAACGAAATTTACATTTTAGTCTATGAAATTTTATTGACAATAACGGGACGGACAGTAGTTACATTTGACAAGTTCTCTCGAATTTGTCGGAGAAGATTTAGCAGGTAGTTGTTCCCATAAAATAATGGTCACTTTCGTTCCGTATAAAAAAATTTATCACTTTTTCAAATAAAATACCTTTAAATGTTCATAATAAATAAATAAAAAAAAACGATATTGTCGTTGAGTGACATGTAACTGGCATAATAATAAAAACGTGCCATTTTTGTTAACTGATATTTTTTTCATAAATGTCGCAAAATTATTAAATTTGTCTAATCATCCCCACCAATAATGTGATGACGTCTCTTCAAATTTATGCATAGTAAATGGGTTTTAAATTGTATACAGTAACATAGTCCTACACATGTAGTTTATGACTCCGTGTTGAATTTTTATCCGAAACGTCCAGATTTTTGGAAAAAAAATCAAAATTATAAAACAATATTTTGCAATTTAATTTTGAATTTGCAAAATCGAATACTTTGAAATCTTGCAGATGTTTTAAAGTCATGATAAACGTGATACATTTTTTATTAAAATATATTTGCTTATCCCCTCTAAAAAATTTATGACGTCACCTCAAAATTGTGCAGAATAAATCCTATCTTAAATGTATAAAATATGATGAGTTTTTATACTTGTGAATTACCACTGCATTAATATTTTTTTAGATTTGGTTATACAGGGTGTCTCAAAAAAGTTAATGACTGAGTCAATTTGTTTTATTGAAGAAATCAAGAATAGCAAAACTGAATACTTTGAAGTATTGTAGATGTTTTAAAGTCTTTGTAAGCATGGTAACTTTTTCGAACATTTGATTAATCAAATATGCGGCAAATCGAAAATCGGAAAAACTGAAATTCACTAATGCAAAAAACAGAAAATCGAAAAATATAAATCGTAAAAATCGAAAATCTAAAAATGGATAACAAAAAAATCGAAAATTCAATGAATCAAATACCGAGGTCGATCGAAAAGTGGAAATTCACAAACCTCAAAAATCGAAAAGTCAAAAATTTGTAATACTGAAAATTAAAAAAATCAAAAACAAAAATTAAAAAAAATTGGAAATTAAAATAATCAAAGTGTATAAAGTAGAAAAAATTGCAAAGCCTAAAAACTGAAACGAACAGAAAAATCGAAAAAGCAAAAAATTGGAAAAACAAAAATTCGAAAAATCTAAAATCGCAAAAGTGGAAAATCGAAAATCTGAATAAAGAAACTTGGAAATTCTGAAAATTGGAAAATCGAAAACCAAAAAATCGGAAAGAAACAAAACTGAAGTCTAAAAGGTGAGAATGGAAAAATTGAAAAACCGAAAATTCTAAAAATCGACAATGGACAAATTGAAAATCGCAAAATTTAAATTGAAACATAGAAAAATCGATGAATTGAAAAATCGAAAATTCGACTACTCAAATTTTCTAAAAATCGAAAAATCATAAAACCGAAATATCCAAAATTCTAATGGTCGAAAGTCTGAAAACTGAAAATCGAAAATTCTGAAAAGCGGAAAATAGAATATCGACAAATTTAAAAGAAAGAAAATTGAAGTCTAAAAACCGAAGAATGGAAAAATTAAAAATCAAAAATTCGAAAAATCAGAACCGAAAAGTTCAAAGATTTAAAAAGGAAAATCGAAAAATCAAAAATTTGTAATACTGAAAATTAAAAAAATCAAAAACAAAAATTAAAAAAATCGGAAATTAAAATAATCAAAATATATAAAGTAGAAAAAATTGCAAAGCCTAAAAACTGAAACGAACAGAAAAATCGAAAAAGCAAAAAATTGGAAAAACAAAAATTCGAAAAATCTAAAATCGCAAAAGTGGAAAATCGAAAATCTGAATAAAGAAACTTGGAAATTCTGAAAATTGGAAAATCGAAAACCAAAAAATCGGAAAGAAACAAAACTGACGTCTAAAAGGTGAGAATGGAAAAATTGAAAAACCGAAAATTCTAAAAATCGACAATGGACAAATTGAAAATCGCAAAATTTAAATTGAAAAATTGAACATCGAAAAATCGATGAATTGAAAAATCGAAAATTCGACTACTCAAATTTTCTAAAAATCGAAAAATCATAAAACCGAAATATCCAAAATTCTAATGGTCGAAAGTCTGAAAACTGAAAATCGAAAATTCTGAAAAGCGGAAAATAGAATATCGAAAAATTTAAAAGAAAGAAAATTGAAGTCTAAAAACCGAAGAATGGAAAAATTAAAAACCAAAAATTCGAAAAATCAAAACCAAAAAGTTGAAAGATTTAGAAAGTAAAATCGAAAAATCAAAAATCTGAAAATTGAAACTCGAAAATTCGGAAAATCGAAAAATAAAAAAATTGAAGTCTAAAAGCTGAAGAATGGAAAACTGAACAACCGAAAATTCGAAAATCAAATATCGAAATATCGAAAAGCCGAAAAATCGAAAATTTGATGAATCAGATATGCGAAAAACAGAAAATCTGAAAATACAAAACTGAAAAATCGAAAATCTAAAAATGGAAAAACCGAAAATCGAAAATTCAATGAATATAATACGTAGGTCGATCGAAAAACCGGAAATTCACAAATCTGAAAAATCGGAAATTTGCAAGATTGAAAAACCGAAAATTGAAAAATCAAAAAACCGAAAAATGGAAAATTCAAAAATCGAAAAATAGGAAAACAGAAAATTCGAAAATTCATAATATTGAAAACTCTAAAAGTCGACAATTCAAAAATCGAAAAGTAAACAAATTTCAAAGCCTAAAAAGTGACGAACAGAAAAATCGAAAACTCGTAAAATCATAAAGTGGAAAATCGAAAACTGGAAATTGAAAAATCGGAGATTGGAAAATCGAAAATCGAAATATCGAGAATCGACAAATTAAAAAACCGAAAAATCGAAAAATTAAAAAATCGGAGATCGAAAAATGAAAAAAGAAACGAAAATTCAAAAATCGAATAATCCGAAAGTAAAATAATAGAAAAGTGGAAAAGTAAAAATTGCAAAGTCTAAAACTGACGAACAGAAAAATCGAAACATTAAAAAAAATCGAAAAATATCTAAAAATGGAAAAATCGAAATGCTCAAAAATCGAAAATTCGATTAATCAATATTCTAAAAATCGAAAAAACGGACACAAATCCACAAATCTGAAAAAATCGAAATATCGACACTCGAAAAATTAAAAAACCGAAAAATTGAAAAATCCCAAATCGAAAATGAAAAAACCAAAAATTCAAAAATAAAACTATCGGAAAGTAAAATAATCGAAAAATGGAAAAATAAAACAAATCGCAGAACCATAAAAACTGAAACAAACAGAAAAATCGAAAAATTTAATGATTAATGGAAAATCGAAAAATCGAGAATAGAAGAATTAAAAAACCGGAAAATTGAAAAATCGGAAATCGAAGAATTAAAAACGTAAAATCGAAAATTCAAAAATCAAAAAAATCGGAAAGTAAAATATAATCGAAAAATGCAAAAAAATTGCAGCAAAGTCTAAAAACTGACCAACAGAAAAATCAACAAATCGAAAAACGGAAAAACCGAAAACTCGAAAATTCAAAATACCGCAAATTTGAAAAATCAGAAAATGGGAAAGTAAAAAAATCGAAAAGTTGATAGAAAAATGGAAACTGAAAAATCTAATTAGATGAAACGGTTGGTCGAAAAAACGAAAAATCGAAAAATCGACCCAAGAGAGACAGCAGTAAAGGATAACAAATGGAACGGATAAAATAAAGCGTCAACCATGACTGATAAATTTTAAACCAAAATTATGAAGTTTATAAACTGAACATTTTTTTTTTGTTTTTTGAAATGTAGTACACTTCAAAAAATGTCCGTGACTTAATTTAATGTGAATTTTATAACTATGGTTGGCACAATTAGACCTAATATTAGTGTGATTTTGAGCATATTCTCGATTTTATTAGAGCAGAATAGGTTTTTTTTTCTAATTTTATAAGTTACGGAAACTAATAGCACATCACAGATATTGCAAAACTTGATTTCTTCAATAAAATAAATTTACTCAGTCATTATTTTTTTTGAGTCACCCTGTATGTATAAACAAATCCAAAAAATATAAATGGAATGGTAAATCACAAGTATATACCCATCATATTCTGAACATTTTAGATAGGGTATTTATAAAATTAAAACTAATTCAGAGTAAGAATTTGGTCAACACGTAAATTTCGTTGTAGTTTGAGCCTACCTACAAATTCTGCTCTCGGACGATTTGTACCGCCTCCTACCGGCAAAAATGATCCGCCCATAGGCTCAAAACATTTGCCGGCGATTGTACGTTCAGGCTATTACGTGCGCCCCCGACGGTTTAAATTTTTGACGCACTGTCCGAAGCAGCCCTAGTGCGAACTCGGCTGTAGCTAAATTAGAGGTAACTTTTAAGACGCCTCGCCCATTGTAGACAGGCGCAAGATAGACGCCTCAGGGCCTGTCATCTTTATGCATAACACAGCCCATTGTGTTATTAGAACAATGAAACTAACTTTGGTGGTGTTATTTCAGGTTGTTGCTTCGTGACGTTCTTTACAAGGAAGGCAGCTCTTCAGGCGCAGGACGCTTTACACAATGTGAAAACCTTAAACGGGGTAAGTTTGGCTTTAATTAATGCAGCCCTAATTTACTTTTCATTATAAGTGGGAAATAGTGTAAATTTACTATTAATTTTGATGCGATAATTGGAATTTGTAGCGAAGCTTCGCCGCCTCCAAGTCATAAAACCCTATTTTTACATTTACGTGATTAACGCGGATTTCGTTTGTTTTTTGATCAAATACGTCGGTGTCTGACGCGTATTCGTCTCCAGCTACCTTAAATGGTTTTCAAATAATTCCTATTATCGATCGCATTGTTCAAACAGAGCCCGCGTACACGGCCATTAATTATTATAATTGCCCTGACACGTTATCTGCTATCAGGTGTCAATATCGCCCTCCCGCGTCCCCCTTTCCTGCCGACACTGCAATCTTCCCACATTGAAACCTCCGACAACCCCTTCCCGATCCTCTTCGCTCTCCTTTGCGCCCTTTCTCCCCGATTTATTCCCAATTTAATTAAGAAAACGAACAGACTTCCAAAATCGTTTGACTGATTAACGCCTCCTCGGCGTCGCTTTCGAGATCGAACGAGCAACAGAAAGCAGTACACCTGTGCGGCGTCGCGACGCCCCTCCGACCTTATGTAGATCGGCGAGCCCGAACCGAAATTAACGCGAAAAGACTCGCAAATCCACGCAAATTTCGCGCCGACGGAGCCCTTTTTTATTTTGGTGTTCCGTCAGCAGAAGGAGGAAGCGAAAGGCGGACGTGCCGCGAATGGCGACGAGACACATCTACATGGCCAGGGCCGGACCGATCGAGCGAATTAATCGGGCCCGATGCGTCCGTGTCGTTTGTCAAAGGGTTGCGACAAATTGGCGGTAAATCGGCGGATTCTGTGCCCAGGATTTTGACAAACGACGCCTGGAAGATTGATTCTGCACAGGTGAATCTTCGGGGTCGAGCGAGGTCCTTGTTTCTTCGCGCTTCTCGCGAGTGACGTCCTAGCGTTCGATAACCTGAAGACTAATTTCCAGCGAAAAGCGTCGTTAATGCCATTGAAACGGATTCCCGCTGAACAAGACCTGTCGAATTTTGCCATCGGCCATTGATTAATAGTACTATTACTGATTAATTGCGTGCGGCACCATTCAATCACCACCGCCGTGTGCGCTTCCCGTGTCCTGTCAATTGTCCTGCGACAAACAAGCAGGAACATTCGGGAGGGCGGCGGTGGATTTACGCCACCCTCGCAAATTGAACGTCACTGCGGATTAACATCGAACGCTTGTCTCTCACCTGACAGCTGTTGTGTAGAACAAGAGTCCATTGTTAGCAGGATGGGAAACAGACACGCACGCATCTCTGCATATCCGTGACATTAGCATGCGACATCCTCCCGCATTCTGCTCGGCCAGCGGATCGGTGTGCGAAACCGTCAATAATCGGACCGGCGGAGGGCGGGAGGCTGCACCAGTCGGCGATTCTCGAAAAACGTAAACACAATCCGAAAAAGATTCAAGTTAAAACCGTCGTAGTTGGCTTACTTGTATACTACTATCTTTGGGTGTGTTCAGATGGAACCATCTGGGAATCGCGACTTTTCCAGAGGGCCCTGTAGCCAATCCTGAATTCACAGACCTCCAGGTTCTTTCAAACCACGTAAAAAACAACACCCACAGGAGGACTCCGAAATTTTTTCAAACTACTTCAAAAATAATACTCGCAGGAGGTCAACCAGATGGTTTTGAACTACTTCAAAAATAAAACACAAAGGATCTCCGAGTTTCTCTCAAATTACTTCAAGCACGACACCCACAAGATGTCCTCGAGATTCTTTCTTACTACTTCAAAAACAAAACACAAATGATCCCCGAGATTCTTTTAAACTACTTGAATCATCAGACAAAAAGAGTCTCCGATATTCTTTCAAACTAATTCAAACTCAAAACAAAAGAGGAACCCGAGATTCTTTCGAAGAAATTCAAAAACGAGACATAAGGGGTCCCCGAGATTCTTTTAAACCACTTCAGAAACAAAACAAAAGGAGTCCCCGAGATTCTTTAAAACCATTTCAAAATCACAACAAAAGCAGGCCCTGAGATTCTTTAAAACCATTTCAAAATCAAAGCAAAAGGAGTCCCCGAGATTATTTTAAACCACTTCAGAAACAAAACAGAAGGAGTTCCCGAGATTCTTTAAAACCATTTCAAAATCACAACAAAGGGAGTCCCTAAGATTCTTTAAATCCATTTCAAAATCAAAACAAAAGGAGTTCCCGAGATTCTTTAAAACCATTTCAAAATCACAACAAAAGGAGACCCTGAGATTCTTTAAAACCACTTCAGAAACAAAACAAAAGGAGTCCCCGAGATTCTTTAAAACCATTTTAAAATTACAACAAAAGGAGTCCCCGAGATTCTTTAAAACCATTTCAAAATCACAAAAAAGGAGTCCCTGAGATTCTTTAAAACCTTTTAAAATCAAAACAAAAGGAGTCCCCGAGATTCTTTTAAACCACTTCAAAATCACTACAAAAGAAGTCCCCGAGATTCTTTGAAACCACTTCAGAAACAAAACAAAAGGCGTCCCCGAGATTCTGTAAAACCATTTCAAAATCAAAACCAAAGGAGTCCCCGAGATTCTTTTAAACCATTTCAAAATCACAACAAAAGGAGACCCTGAGATTCTTTAAAACCACTTCAGAAACAAACCAAAAGGAGTCCCCGAGACTGTTTAAAACCATTTTAAAATTACAACAAAAGGAGTCACCGAGATTCTTTAAAACCATTTCAAAATCACAAAAAAGGAGTCCCTGAGATTCTTTAAAACCATTTCAAAATCAAAACAAAAGGAGTCCCCGAGATTCATTTAAACCACTTCAAAATCACTACAAAAGAAGTCCCCGAGATTCTTTGAAACCACTAAGAAACAAAACAAAAGGCGTCTCCGAGATTCTTTAAAACCATTTCAAAATCACAACAAAAGGAGGCCCTGAGATTCTTTAAAACCATTTCAAAATCACAACAAAAGGAATCCTTGAGATTCTTTAAAACCATTTCAAAATTAAAACAAAAGGAATCTCCGAGATTTTTAAAAGCATTTCAAAATCAAAACAAAAGGAGGCCCTGAGATTCTTTAAAACCATTTCAAAATCACAACAAAGGGAGTCCATAAGATTCTTTAAATCCATTTCAAAATCAAAACAAAAGTAGTTCCCGAGATTCTTTAAAACCATTTCAAAATCACAACAAAAGGGGACCCTGAGATTCTTTAAAACCACTTCAGAAACAAAACAAAAGGAGTCCCCGAGATTCTTTAAAACCATTTTAAAATTACAACAAAAGGAGTCCCCGAGATTCTTTAAAACCATTTCAAAATCACAAAAAAGGAGTCCCTGAGATTCTTTAAAACCTTTTAAAATCAAAACAAAAGGAGTCCCCGAGATTCTTTTAAACCACTTTAAAATCACTACAAAAGAAGTCCCCGAGATTCTTTGAAACCACTTCAGAAACAAAACAAAAGGCGTCCCCGAGATTCTGTAAAACCATTTCAATATCAAAACCAAAGGAGTCCCCGAGATTCTTTTAAACCATTTCAAAATCACAACAAAAGGAGTCCCCGTGGTTCATTTAAACCACTTCAGAAACAAAACAAAAGGAGTCCCCGAAATTCTTTAAAACCATTTCAAAATCACAACAAAGGGAGTCCCTAAGATTCTTTAAATCCATTTCAAAATCAAAACAAAAGGAGTTCCCGAGATTCTTTAAAACCATTTCAAAATCACAACAAAAGGAGACCCTGAGATTCTTTAAAACCACTTCGGAAACAAAACAAAAGGAGTCCCCGAGATTCTTTACAACCATTTTAAAATTACAACAGAAGGAGTCCCCGAGATTCTGTAAAACCATTTCAAAATCAAAACCAAAGGAGTCCCCGAGATTATTTTAAACCATTTCAAAATCACAACAAAAGGAGTCCCCGTGATTCATTTAAACCACTTCAGAAACAAAACAAAAGGAGTCCCCGAGATTCTTTAAAACCATTTCAAAATCACAACAAAATTAAGCCCTGAGATTCTTTCAAACCATTTCAAAATCAAAGTCCCTGAGATTCTTTAAAACAATTTCAAAATTAAAACAAAAGGAGTCCTCGAGATTCTTTTAAACCACTTCAGAATCTCAACAAAAGGAGGCCCTGAGATTCTTTAAAGCCATTTCAAAATCACAACAAAAGGAGTCCCTGAGATTCTTGAAAACCATTGCAAAATTAAAACAAAAGGAGTCCCCGAGATTCTTTAAAACCATTTCAAAATTACATCAAAAGGAGTCCCCGAGATTCTTTTAAACCACTTCAGAAACAAAACATTAGAAGTCCCCGAGATTCCTTTAAACCATTTCAAAATCAAAACAAAAAGAGTCCCGGAGATTCTTTAAAACCATTTCAAAATCAAAACAAAAGGATTCCCCGAGATTCTTTTAAACCACTTCAGAAACAAAACAAAAGGCGTCCCCGAGATTCTTTAAAACCATTTCAAAATCAAAACAAAAGACGCACCCGAGATTCTTTTAAACCAATTCAAAAACGAGAAAAAAAGGGTCCCCGAGATTCTTTTAAACCACTTCAGAAACAAAATAAAAGAAGTCCCCGAGATTCTTTAAAACCATTTCAAAATCAAAACCAAAGGAGTCCCCGAGATTCTTTTAAACCATTTCAAAATCACAACAAAAGGAGTCCCCGTGATTCATTTAAACCACTTCAGAAACAAAACAAAAGGAGTCCCCGAGATTCTTTAAAACTATTTCAAAATCACAACAAAAGGAGGCCCTGCGATTCTTTAAAACCATTTCAAAATCACAACAAAAGGAGTCCCTGAGATTCTTTAAACCCATTTCAAAATTAAAACTAAAGGAGTCCTCGAGATTCTTTTAAACCACTTCAGAATCTCAACAAAAAGGGGCCCTGAGATTCTTTAAAACCATTTCAAAATCACAACAAAAGGAGTCCTTGAGATTCTTGAAAACCATTTCAAAATCAAAACAAAAGGAGTTCCCGAGATTCTTTAAAACCATTTCAAAATTACATCAAAAGGAGTCCCCGAGATTCTTTTAAACCACTTCAGAAACAAAACATTAGAAGTCCCCGAGATTCCTTTAAACCATTTCAAAATCAAAACAAAAGGAGTCCCTGAGATTCTTTAAAACTACTTCAAAATCAAAATAAAAAGAGTCCCTGAGGTTCTTTCAAACTACTTCAAAATCAAAACAAAAGAGACACCTGAGATTCTTTCAACTTACCTCAAAAACATGACAAGGAGTCCCCGAGATTCTTTAAAACCATTTCAAAATCAAAACAAAAGGAGTCCCCGAGATTCATTTAAAGCACTTCAGAAACAAAACAAAAGGAGTCCCCGAGATTCTTTAAAACCATTTCAAAATCACAAGAAAAGCAGTCCCTGAGATTCTTTAAAACCAATTCAAAATCAAAACAAAAGGCATCTCTGAGATTCTTTCAAACTACTTCAAAATCAAAACAAAAAAGGAACCCGAGATTCTTTCAAAGCAATTCACAAACGAGACATAAATGGTCCCCGAGATTCTTTTAAACCACTTCAGAAACAAAACAAAAGGAGTTCCCGAGATTCTTTAAAACCATTTCAAAAATCAGACAAAAGGAGTCACCGAGATTCTTTTAAACCATTTCAAAATCGGAACAAAAGGAGTCCCTGAGGTTTTTTCAAACTATTTCAAAATCAAAACAGAGGCACCCGAGATTCTTTCAGCTTATCTCGAAAACTTGACAATGGATTCGCAAGATTCTTTAAAACTACTTCAAAAATAAAGAGATAAACTACGTACTGTAAAATCGAATTGTTGACATTTAAAGAAATCGAAACCTCGGATAATTGACAAATCCAAAAATTGCAAAATTGAAAGCTTTTAAAATTGAGGAATTGAATAATCAAATACTAAAATTAAAAATTGATTAAATGAAGAATTGTAAAATCGAAATAATAATAATAGTGTATTTATTGACAAAATAAAGAAAATGAAAAAACGAAAAATTGTGATATAAAATCGAAAAAAATAAAAAATCGGGAAAATGAAAAATAAAAGTGAAGAACTTGAAAAATCGTGGAAACGACAAATTGAAAAATCGAGAAATAAAAAATGAAAAATCGAAAAATTTTAAAATTCGAAAAATTAAAATGTGTGCATAACATTCTAAACAGTTTAAAGTCGGGAATTCGAAACATCAAAAAATCGAAAAATTAAAGAATCGAAATATCGAAAAATCCCAAAATTGAAAAATCTAGAAAGCAAAGAATCGGTCAATAGAGAAATTGAGAAAAGGAAAAATCGAAAATTTTGAAACGCCAAAAAAATTTGGAGAACCGAAAAATTGAAGAATAGACAAATCGAAAAATCCTCAAAATAAAATGTCGAAAAATTGAAAAACCGAAAAATCCAAAAGCGAGAAGTCAAAAAATCGAATGATAGAGGAGATATCGAACTATCGAAAAAGTAAAAAATCTAACATTTGAAAATTTGATAAGTTGTAAATTGAAAACTGAAGCACCAAAAACCCGAAAAATCGAGAAATCGAAATATGTACTCCAAAAACAAAGGAAGTCCCGAGATTCTTTGAAATTATTTCAGAGATCGCCTGGAAATTGCGAACTCTCCAGAGGTGCCTGTGGCCGTGAAGAACCATAGCGCTGATGCCCGAATCTAGAGTTCATATACTTTTAAAAGAAGCAAAATTTCGGCCTTTCGGCATTGATTCTGTCCGTCTAAATCCCAGAGATGTTTGTTTGTTCTTTCTTTCTTGTGTCTCTTCTTCTGTTGTTGAATTTACGTTGTCCAGTTCGATTAGGTATAAGTTATGAGGCCATAATTTTTTAGGTGATAACGTGTTTACAAACCATTTCAAAACATGATAAACATCTAATAAATAATAATGAAAAAAACAAAAACAAAAACTGCGATTACTAATAAAAACACAGCGCACACAACTTACTTTCGTATATTTATCGCAAGAATCAGTTAAACTGGAACTCAAATAAATAAAAAAATATACCTATGAAAGTTCTACACAATAAAAGTTTAATCGTGAACGACACTCGCATTTAGTAACAGCTAGTGCAATAAATATCGACGCGATAGTGTGGATGTGCTAATTGCGGCTTTTTTGGTCCTTCGAGCCGGATTAGCGGTGGCGGCGAATCGACCTCTTCGGCAAACAAGGCCAAAACGCAACTCCCGCTAACCCGTTCCGCCATAAAAACTGTCCCCTCAAAAACTCGAACACTGCGGCCCAGAAACTTTATTCATGTGATTAAAGAGGCTTTTAATAAAACGGCGAAATACATTATCCCCCAAATTCCGGATAAAATTCTAAAGCAACAATTTCGTTTGAGCCTCTTAACATCATTTTAAAATACGATCTCTCCGCTGCGCCCCGTTGTTGTATAAAATCATCTTAGAGCTCGTTTCGCGAACAAGAAATTGTAGCTTACCACCATAAGAATTTCCGTTACGGTTCATTATTATATAAAAATTCTACTTTCGAGAGATGAGTTATCTGTACAAAGTATCTATTTTCGGAGTATATTTCTTAGGATGCGATACGAAATCGTCGTAAAATTTCCAACAACGACAGCTCTTTTGAAAGCGCCTCATATTTGCAGAAAAGATTTCTTTGCATTAAGACGCTATTCATTTCGCGGAATATGCACGTAACGTTTATTTGAGCACGCTCACAAAAGGCTGTGACGTACACGCATAAAAATTCTTAAGGTTGTTGCTGCACTGAACCGATGGATCAAACTGTGTTTGTATACAGCTAGTAAACAATTGGTCAAAATTTTACTTTAAGTGAGTCAAAAATGTATTTCGATTGCAGCCGTCGTCACATTTGCATCTTCGGGCCGCGCGTCCCCGGGGGCGGCGCGCCGCCCCTTTAAATCAATTGATCGGCGGCCGGAGCGCCGCCGGTGCATCGTGCGGGCCATTAGGTCCGCCGGCTGCAGCAGCCGTTCCGACACTTAACTCATGATATTCTGTCTGTTGCAGATGCATCATCCCATCCAGATGAAGCCCGCCGACAGCGAGAACAGGAACGGTAAGTGTGACGATTTGATTGATTCGTTCTCGCACCTGTAGTGGTCGTTCGATTTTCCGCGTTCGGCGGTAATGAGGCGAGAGGGCGAAAAGTAAACTCGAGGATTTTCGCGCAAGCCAACTTCGGTCGAGGAAATTTAAATGGAACATATGGCGTGTGATACATCACTTTAAAACCCCCGAAATCGAAACGCCTTGGATTCCGAGGGTGGGAATCGCGAGATAACGACGTTGCGAGAACGCACGCGGTGGGATTAATGGGGGATCAAATTTTGCTTTTTGACGAATGGGTGCGAAAGTTTTCGGCGGGATTAGCGCGGAGAAGGGTTTGTCCTTGCGGGGGATTTGCGAAATTGAGAATTTTCCAAGAATTAAAAAATTGAAAAGCGGGCGAAACGTGTTGAATGCGGATGGGGGTTGGGAAAAATAAAAGGCGATCGAGTTAGCGGAAAATTTACTACTGAATGTGAGTTTTGAATCATTGGGTGTGTCGAAGAATGGAGTACTTGTTATGCAAGGAAGTCGAGACAGCTGACCCGAATTTTCAATTACCAGTGTTGTTTCAGGAAAAAGAAAAGCCAACGAGATGTACGAAGCGCTGACTTTTTCGTGTCTTATTTTCAAAACTAACAATAACGGCGTTATTTTATTTTTATTGTGTGCAGAATGGAGTATGTTGAAATTTATGCCGAAGGGAGATTATATTTTTCGCTCTGGCGCAACCATAGAGCAACCGGGATAACAATTTTTTACTAAATCTAGACACACTTTTTTTATTTTCTTTGATAGCGCAGATTTAAATCACAATTTTCTTCCCCGATTTTTCAGCGCAGCCTAAAAGTGTTATTTCGAAATTTAAAGCGTTTAATTTCAAACATTTTACTTCCCGAGCATTAGCGAAAAAAGTGGTCTCCCGTTTCCGTCTGTCTGTCTGTCTATCTGTTTGTCTGGCGTCTGTATCCATTTTTATTAGACAGGTAACTCCCAAATTATTGGAGCGATTGTTGTCACATTTTGTATGTGTCATAGGAATATCGTCATAGGATGACGTCATCTCCAAAATTTATATATTTTTTTTAATTTGGTAAAATAAGATACTCTTGTACCTGTGGTGTGAATCCGTGTCGAATTCTCACGCTAGACATCTCGAAATTTTTGGAAAAAATTCAAAACTGAATAATAATATTTTGCAATATAACTTGGAAAGCGCAAAACCGATTGCTCTGAAATCTTGTAAATATTTTAAGGTTATTGTAATCAGTGAATCGTCAAGCAAAATTTATTCGTTTATCCCCTCCCAAAAACTTGATGACGTCATCTCAAAATTTTGCTGAATAAATTTTTGGCGTTTCGAAATTGTCGATTTTTCCGTTTATCAATTTCCCTATAAATCGATTGTTTGATTTTTCGACTTTTCGACTTCCCATTTTTTTGACTTTTTGATTTCTCGATTTCTCAGTTTTTCGATTTCTCAAGTTGCCGATGTTTCGGGTTTTTTTTTATATTTTGGGATTTTTCAATATTTCGATTTTTCGATTTTTTGATTTGATTTCTCGATTCAATTTTTCGACATTTTAATTTTTCGTTTTTTTTTTAATTTGAGTTTTTTCGATTTGTAAATTTTTCGGTTTTTTAGTACTTCAATTTTCAATTTTCAATTTTTCGAAGTTTTAAATGTTAGACTTTTCAGTTTTTGGATGTTTCGACATCCCTATCTTTCGATTTTTTGACTTCTTGCTTTTAGATTTTTCGTTTTCTCAATTTTTCGACATTTTAGTTTGAGGATTTTTCAAATTGTGGATTCTTCAAATTCTTCATTTTTCGAATTTTCGATTTCTCGATTGTTTATTTTTTTTCAAATTTTTCGATTTTTCAATTTTTCCATTTTTGGCGTTTCGAAATTTTCGATTATTCCTGTTTTCAATTTCTCTATTAAGCGGTTTGTTAATTTTTCGGCTTTTCGATTTCCCAATTCTTCAATTTTTCGATATCTCTACTTTTTGATTTCTAGATTTTTCAATTTTTCGATTTTTTGATGTCTTAATTTCTTGATTTTTAATTTTTCTTTTTTTTTTAATTTGAGATACATATTTTGATTTCTCGATTTTTCGGTTTTTTAGTATTTCAATTTCCAATTTTAAATTTTTCGAATTTTTAAATGTTAGATTTTTCACTTTTTTGATGTTTCGATATCTCTATCTTTCAATTTTTCGACTTCTTGCTTTTAGATTTTGCGTTTTCTCAATTTAGAGTTAGTTTGTGGATTTTTCAATTTGTCGATTCTTCAAATTCTTCATTTTTCGAATTCTCGATTTCTCGATTGTTTATTTTTTCTTCAAATTTTTCGATTTTTCAATTTTTCCATTTTTAGCGTTTCGAAATTTTCGATTGTTCCTTTTCTCAATTTCTCTATTAAGCGATTTGTTAATTTTTCGGCTTTTCGATTTCCCAATTCTTCAATTTTTTGATATCTCTACTTTTTGATTTCTAAATTTTTCAATTTTTATATTTTTTTGATTTCTCGATTTTTGAATTTTTCGATATTTTAATTTTTAAATACTTCTATTTCTTGATCTTTCGATTGTTCGACTTCTAACTTTTAGATTTTTCGGTTTTTCTATTTTTTGATTTTTAAAATTTTTGATTTTTCAAGTTTTCTAAATGTTGGGTTTTTCACATTTTTGATGTTTCCATATCTCTATCATTCGATTTTTCGATTTCTCGCTTAGAGATCTTCGGTTTTTCAATTTTTTGACATTTTAGTTTGAGGGTTTTTAAATTTGTCGATTCTCCAAATTTTCGGTTTATCAGTTTTTTATTTTTCGATTCTTCAAAATCCTTATTTTTCTACAGGAAATGATCATGAAACAAGTTCTTAAGTAACCGTGTTGTTCAAGGAAACTATATGTATTAAGTAAAAAAGAAAGCCAAGGATTAAGCCCCACCTATACCCGCCCCGATCTAAATTGTAATGAATATTTCATTCGTTTTCAAGCCGAGGGGAGGAGCCTATTATATTGGCGTTTTCTGCTTGATATACATTGTCATCTTTTCATAACAAAAACTTAAAACATGTTTAAAATGGTAAATTTTTGCAGACAAATACGGATTTTGCAGTTACGTTTCTGGCAACGAATGAAAAATTCATCATAAATTTAAGCCCGCCCATACGTGCCCCGACCTCAGTAGTTATGATCTTTCATTGGTTATCAGACTGAGGGGCGGAGCGTAACTGCAAATTCCATTTGTCGACAGAAACTTACCATTTTAAAAATGTTTTAAATTTCTGGTTGTGAATAGATGACTTGGTATATTAAGAAAAAGGAACAAAATATAAACCCCGCCCACCCGCCCTGTCTCAATCGTGATTAATTTTTTTATTCGTTGTGAGTCAAGAGGGCGGAGTTTAATTGCAAAATTCTTATTTTTCTACGAGAAATTGCTATGTGAAACATGTTTTTAAGTAAATTAAGTAAAAAAGACAAGCCCCATCCGTTCGTCTCGATTTCAATCTGTCTTTAACTTTTACGTAATATACATAGTATTCTTTGAATAACACGATACTCAGAAACATGTCTTCGATGGTAATTTCTTGTTGAGAAATAAGAATTTTGCAATTAAGCTCCGCCCTCTTGATTCACGACGAATAAAAAAATCATTACAATTGAGGCAGGGTGGGTGGGCGGGGCTTATATTTTTGTAGGGAAACATAGGTTTTGCAGTTATGCTTCGCCCCTGGCAACGAATGAAAAATTCATCACTAGATTAAGCCCCACCCATACGTGCTCCGACCTTAATAGTGATAAAGTTGTCATTGGTTGTCAGACTGAGGGGCGGAGCGTAATTGCAAAATTCATTTTGTTTACTGAAACTTACCATTTTAAAAATGTTTTAAATTTCTTGTTGTGAATATTAGGTATATTAAGAAAAAAGGGAAAAATATAAACCCCGCCCACCCGCCCTATCTCAATCGTGATGATTGTTTTTATTCGTCGTGAGTCAAGAGGGCGGAGCTTAATTGCAAAATCCTTATTTTTCTACGAGAAATTGCTATATGAAACATGTTTTTGAGTAATCGTGTTGTTCAAAGTAAACTAGATGTATTAAGTAAAAAAGATAAGCCCCATCCATTCGTCTCGAGCTCAATCTGTCTTTAATTTTTACTTAATATACATACATAGTATTTTTTGATTAACACAATACTCAAAAACATGTCTTAGATGGTAATTTCTTGTAGAGAAATAAGAATTTTGCAATTAAACTCCGCCCTCTTGACTCACGACGAATAAAAAAATCATTACAATTAAGACAGGGTGGGTGGGCGGGGTATATATTTTGCGCTTTTTTTTAAACACGTAGTCATCTTTTCACAACAAAAACATAGAACAGAATGGTACATTTTTGTAGGGAAATATAGGTTTTGCAGTTATGCTTCGCCCCTCGGTCTTGCAACGAATGAAAAATTCATCATGAGTTTAAGCCCGCCCATACGTGCCCCAGCCTCAATAGTTATGAAGTTTTCATTGGTTGTCAGAGTGAGGAGCGGAGCGTAATTGCAAAATCCACTTGTCTACAGAAACTTACCATTTAAAAATGCTTTAAATTTCTTGTTGTGAATAGATGATTAGGTATATTAAGAAAATAGAACAAAATATAAACCCCGCCCACCCACCCTGTCTCAATTGTGATGATTTTTTTTATTCGTCGTGAGTCAAGAGGGCGGAGCTTAATTGCAAAATCTTTATTTTTCTACGAGAAATTGCTATATGAAACATGTTTATGAGTAATCTTCTTGTTCAAAGCAAACTAGATGTATTAAGTAAAAAAGATAAGCCCCATCCATTCGTCTCGAGCTCAGTCTGTCTTTAATTTTTACTTAATATATATACATAGTATTTTTTGAGTAACACGATACTCAAAAACATGTCTTAGATGGTAATTTCTTGCAGAGAAATAACAATTTTGCAATTAAGCTCCGCCCTCTTGACTCACGACGAATAA